TATTTTTTTCTTCCGTGGATCCTGCTTTTGCTGTTCGCCTAACTCAAGGTCATAAAGAGTTTTCTGTTATGTTTCTGTTTAAAAGCTTTATAGCTTTCATATACTTGGGCATATGGTTCATTTTGAGTTCGTTTTGTGTATGAGGTGAGGCAAGGGTCCAGTCGCAGTAGCAGATCCATTGAAGAGTGTTCACCACTGAAAGCCTTGGTACCTTTGTCAAACATCAATTGACCACAGATTGATAGGTTTATTTCTGGACTCTCAATTCTTTGCATTGATCTGTATGTCAATCTGTATTCCAGAACCCTCTGTCTTTATTACTGTAGCTTCATGATAAGTTTTAAAACTGGAAACTATGAATTATCCAACTCTGTTCCTTTTCAAAATTGTTTTAGCTGTGTCCTTTGCATTTCCATACAAATCTTACAATCACATTGCTAATTTCTGCCCCTCTCCCCCCCAAATTACTCATGATTTGATAGGATTGCATTCAATCTGTTAATCAATTTGGGAAGTATTGCCTTCTTGACAATATTGAGCCTTCCCAGCCATGAACATCAAAGATCTCTTCATTTGTTTAGGTCTTCTCTAATATCTCTTAGAAATGCTATGTCATTTTACATGTACAAGTCTTGCTCCCCTTCTGTTATGTATTCCTAGATATTTTATTCTTCTCAATGCTGTTGTGAATTGAGTTGTTTTCTCAATTTCATTTTTGGATTGTTCACATATAGAAATGCAGTTGATTGTATTGATCTTGAATCCCGGAATCTTATGAACTTGCTCATTAGCAGCCTTTTTCTCTCTGTGTGTTCCACTCATTTGACCCTAAATGTATCACAAATGCAGAAGTGGATGGTCCTAGTAGAGGAAAAGGGAACTTCAGGTAACTAGAAAATGCTAGGAAAACAGTGGAGAGGATGAAACTCAAGGCAATTGGCCCAGGAGATTTAAAGTTTTGGACTACTGGGCTAACCCCTAATCTGAATGGGTGTGGATCTGATCTTAATCAGCATACCGAATACTTGGAGAATTGATCTAGCAGGTGGACGTCCACCCACGTCTCCGAGTGACCATGAGGTGTGCACAGGCTGATCAGAGGAGCAAAGACTTGGAGCTGGTGCTGGAACCAGAGCCCAGAGGAGACTAAAGCAAGAATGTCAACATGGGGGAGGGGGGAGACCCAGAGTCTTTTTTCTTTTAATTAAGGTGTCATGGATATACAATCTTACAAAGGTTTCACATGAGCAACATTGTGGTTTCAACATTCACCCATATTGTCAACCCCCCACCCGCACCCCATTGCGGACACTGTCCACCAGCGTAGTAAGAGGCGATGGAGGAAGACCCAGTCTTATAACATAATGCCCCAAATACCCAAGATAGAAACTAAAGCCACCCGGAATAAGAAGAACACAAAAATCTCAACTCACATGGGAAAGACAATAGGCACCATTGACGTGATTAAAGTTCCGTGGCAGGAACTTTAAGGCAGCTGCTATAAAATGCTTGAACAAGAAATTGCAAACAGTCTGGTTACAAATATTAAAATAGAGTGATTCAGCAAAGAAACAGAAACAAATAAGCAGCAAATGGAAATTTGGAACTGAAAAATATAATAACTGGAAGCAAAAGACCCTGACTGAATGGATTCAATAGCAGAATGGAGATGACAGAGGGAAGAGTAAAAAATTTGAAGAAAAAAGCTATTAGGAAATGAGGAGTCTCAGGAACCTGGGGGATGACAAAAGGGCTAACAGTTGTGTCACTGGCACCTCAGAAGAAGAGGAGAAAGGGGGGGACTGAAAACACATTTGAGAAAATAACAGCTGAAAACTTCACAAGTTTGGTGAAAGACATAAACCGATAGTTCAAGAAGCAGAGCAAATCCCATGCAGGACAAACTGAAAGAAATGCGCACCAGGACACTTCATGATCAAATTGCTGAAAACTAAAAAGAAAGAGAAAGTTTTAAAAGCAACCAGAGAAAAATGAAGTATTACCTATAGAAGAACAATGCTTGAATGACTGGATTTCTCATCAGAAACCATAGAGGCCAGAAAGAAGTAATACAACATTTTTCGAGTGCTGAAAAGGAAAAATCAATTAAGATTTCAATATCTAGCAAACTTCCTTAACCTGTCAAAGGGCATCGACAAAAACCTCACAGCTCACATCGCACAATGTGAAAGAATCAGTGCCTTCCTCTCAGATCAGGGCCGAGTCAGGACGCCCACCCACCTCTCCTACTCAACGTAGGGCCAAGTTCTCACCAGTACAACAGGACAAGAAAAGGAAATGAAAGCCATACCGATTGGAAAGGAAGAGTAAAACTACCTTTATCTGCAGACAACATGACTGTCTATGTAGAAAATCCCAGGGAAACTATTTTTAAAGGAAGAACCAAATTCCTAGAACCGATAAGTGAGGTTAGCAAGTGTTAGTTGCAGGATACAAGGTCAACACATAAAAGCCAATCATATTCTCATATATAAGCAATGAATAACTGGAAACCAAAATTTTAAGAATGTTACCATTTCTAATAGCTCCTTGGAATGTCTGGGTGTAAATCTGGCAAAACATGTACAGAATCTGTGTGCTGACAACTACAGAATGCCGTCATAGGAAGTCAAAGGAGATCTAAATAAACAGGAAGGTTTACCATGTTCATGGATGTGAAGAATCCGTGCACTGAGTATGTCAATTCTCCCCAAAGAAAGCTACAGACTGAACACATTACCAGCCAAATTCCAGCAAGATTTTTTTTGTAGGTGTAGACTAGCCATTTTTAAATGCATATGGAAGGGCATCAGAACTAGATGAATGAACGCAATTTGCAAAAGAAAAGCACAGCTGTTGGAGTCACTCTCCCCAATTCTAACACTCACTCTCAACAACAGTAATCAAGACCAGGTATCCGTGAAGTGACAGAGTGACAGGTGCACACATAGATCAATGGGGCAGAACAGATAGTCTGAAACAGGCTCACAGAGATCTCTGATGACTGCAGGTGGAATTCAGTGGAGAAAGAATAGTTTTCTTCAGCAAATTGTGCTGGCACAATTGGCTGTCCACGTTCAACAAGATGAACCTTGACCTAAACATTACACGTCATGTGAGGATAAGGTCAAAGTGAATCCTAGGTCTAAACGCAGAACATAGATTCTAAGACTTTCAGAAGAAAAAAAAGGAGACACTCTTTGTGACATGGGGTTAGTCGAAGACTTTGTAGAAATGACACCTAAAACATGATCCATAAAAGAAAAAAATGGGTAAGTTAGACTTCATTGACATTAAAAACTTGCTCTGACAAAGACTCCGAAGAAAATGAGAGAAGCTACAGTTTGGGAAAAAATATTTGCAAACCTCATACCTGGAAAGGACTTGTATGTAGAATACAAGAGCTCTCAAAACCCAACCCTAAGAAAACAGCACAGCTCACAGATAGGCAAAGATCTAGACATTTCACCAAAGAGAACATCCAGATGGCAAATAGGCGCATGAGAAGGTATTCAATATCCTTAGCAGGTAGGAAAATGCCAATTAGAGCCTTGAGGAGTCACCACTACAGGCTTATCAGAATGATTAAAAGAAGAAAGACTGACAACACCTAGTGCTGGTGAGGATGGAGGTAACTGGAACACACACAGCCCATGCTGGGACTGAAAAATGGCACAGCTACTCCAGAAAGTGGTTGGCTCCCCAGTTTCTTGTGACATTTACTGTGTGTTTCTGTAGGATGTGGTAAACCCACCCTGGGCATTTATCCTAAAGAATGGAAGTGTGTGTTCACACAAAAACCTGTGCGTGACTGCTGTTAGAGGCTTTGTTTGTAATAGCTGGAAACAGCCCACATGTCTCAGTCGGTGCATATGGACTGCCGTCAGGTGCAGCAGGGAGGGACATGGGGCAAGTAACATAATTAATTTTTCCTAAGATGAAAAATGCCAAGATATGGATAGTAAGACCAGGAGGGACTCCATCTTAAGGCTAAGATTCCATTTTAAAAACCAGGGAGTTAGGAGGAAAGGTTCCTGACATACTTTATGGTGATCAGCTAACAACCGACCGTATCCTAAGGCCAGGTGAGCAGCCCTAAATGATAGGTCCCCACTGCTTGAGGGTAACCAGCATCGTGGAGAAGAACAGGATAATAAATTATGTGTGGTAAGTTTATCTTACAGAACATCTCAGGACTGGTTGTGGATGGTGGCATAATGCCTCTCACCAGAGACAGACATCAGGAGACCACATTCCAGCCAACTCTGGCCCTTTACCCCATTCTTGAAATCCTTAAAACCCAAATCCTAAATCTTTAATTGCGCTTCCTCTCTGCGGTCACCCCGCCTCCCGTGAGTGTGTACCGTCTCATCAGACAAACTTTGCTGTCTCATAAGCTTTACTGCACTTTCCCCCTAAACTATTTTTCATGATAAAGACAGGAACTTGCCAACCCCCATCTCTGGCTGTAAGTGTCTGTTACTTTGCTATTTCATTCAATTTTCCAGACTTAAGCACTAGTCTTCACTCTCCCTGTTCCACTTCAGACTAGGAGGGAAGGGCTACTGAGATCTGGCTCGGGGTGGCCAGTTCCCTTCACCTGGGTGACCTGGATGGGACGGCAGCTGCAGGACCCGCTCTTCGGGAGAGGGCCGCCCCTTCCTTCGCCCTCCAGGCCTGCTTGAAAATCTCCTTTCTTTGCTCTGGGAAGTTCTCAGAACATAATCTCACTCCATCCAGGGCTCTGTGGCTCCCCCAATTCCTGGGGTGGTGGGGGCTCAGTCCCCAGGCCATGCAGATTCAAGCGGACCCTGGGTGCCAGGTGACTCTGGCTTCAGGAGCTGGCCGGGGGGTCTGCCCTGTGCCGGGCAGAAGCTCAGTGACCCCCCTCTCCTCCTGTTCTGCCCGCACAGCTGCTGCCACTCGCTGCCACTCTTGCCGCAATGAATTCCTTCCTTACCACACTCTTGATCCGTTTCTAAATCCTTTCTCCGTCAGAGTCAAGAAGCCTCCCCCACCCAGGCTGCGGTCTGACCGAGGCGCAGCGCCTTCTCCCCGGACTGGTGTCCGCAGCCTGGGGGGCCGCCCCACGCAGACACGCGGGATCCCCACAGCCCCCAGGTGAGTGGGCAGCGTGCCGAGGGGTCCGGCCTCCGAAGGCCGCGTGGGCTGCTCCCGCTTACGGGGTGTCCTCGGAGACCCCCACAGGGCGCCCAAGGAGGGCGTCGGGCCGGCGGCGCGGACTGTGCCCCGCGGTGGTGACAGCATCCGAAAGGGTTAACGCTCCCAGAGCAGCGCCCCAAAACAGGTCAACGGCGCTGGGTGGTGGTTCAAAATTAGATAAACCGAAAAACACGGCGAGCGACCTGCGAGCGCGGCTTTCGCCGCACAGCAAGGCCCCCCGCGCCCCCAGCTGGCCCCGGGACCCCCGGTGAGCGGTCCTGGGAGGGCCTGGTCTGGGGTGAGTGGGCGCCTGCCGGCGGAGGTGTCCCCCAGGCGGTGCCCAGGAAGGCCCGGGCGGTGGGGGGGCCTCCCCAGCCGAGCTCTCCGGCCGCCCCTTCGCCCGCCCCCCAGGCCTGCGGGCCAGGCCCCCGCCCCTGGCTGGTCGGGCCGCCGGGCATCGCGGCTGCGCCCCCTCCCACCCCGCCGTGACCGCCGCCTGTGCCCCGGGACCGCGACCTCCGCAGCCGGCCGGGACCTGGAGGAAACCACACCTGTGAACCGGACCAGGGGCGGAGAGCGCGGGCGCGTCCACGCGGCCCCCGCCCCCCGCCCTGCGGCCCCGAGCCAAGGCCTCTCAGGGCCCAGGAGCCCCTCCTCGCCCCGCCCGCCCTCCTGACCCCTGGGTGCCCACCGCGGGGGTCCTTGCCCCGATGCCTCCCAGCGCCCTGCAGGCTCCTCCTCCAGAACGGGGACCCCCTCCCTCCCTTTTCTTAGGGCATTTGCTTCTGGAAACTTGTGAAACTTTCTGTCCCTTTGAGATGTATGCAAACCTGAAAAGGTAAATAAGCCTCTTGCCAGTGTAACAGCCCAGGAATGTGCTTCTCCATAGTTTCACATCATCCCTTTGAAAGAATCACACTGTGCGCAGCACCCCCTCCCTGTCCCAGTAGGATTGCGACTTAACCTCTTGTCTCCCAGTTGTACCTACCTACCTGCTTGTCACAGACATATGATCATTCAGATTTTTTTTTATTTGAATGGCTACCCCAGTTACCAGGTAAATACAGGATGGACTACGAGTCACACACCAGGCTGTCAAGTCCTCTTTTTTTTTTTTTTTTGGTAAAATATACATAAGAGAGAAATTTCCATTTTAACCATTTTTAAAAGTACAATGTAAGGACATAAAATACAGTTACAATGTTGTACAACTTTCATCACCATCTATTTCCAGAACATTTTTTATCATTCCGAACAGAAACTGTATCCATGAAACAGTAACTCCCACCTCCCGGGGCCCACATAGCCTCTAATCTCTATCGCACAGGCATCAATCTGCCTGTCCCAGGTTGCTCATACAAGTGGAATCACACATACACTACGTGGCCCTTTGTGGGTGGCTTATTTCACTTGCTGTAATGTTTTCAGGGTTCATCCATGTTCTATCTTCTATCAGAACTTCATTCCTTTTTAAGTTGGTCCATATTGCATCGTATGTCTACACATTTTGTTTATCCATCCGCCTCTAGACGGACACTTGCCTAAGGGTCCAACTTCACTCTTGTCCATGTGGACATCCAGTTTCCCCAGCACCACGTGTTGAAAAGTCTGTCCTTTCTCCATTGAAATAATCTTTCCACCTTGTTGAAAATCAGTTGACCATATGTATGAGATTTTAGCTCTTGAGGCCCAGCTGTCTTCCTCTGAGCAAGGATGTCTGCCCAGGTGCCAGAACCACATTCTCTTGATTACTGTAGCTTCATAGTAAGTTTTGAAATCAGGAAATGTGAGTCCAACTTTGTACCTTTTCAAGATTATTTTGTCTATTCAGGTCCCTTGTGATTCCATATGAATTTTAGGATAAAATTTTTTTTCTATTTCTTCAAAAAACATCATAGGGGTTTTGAGAGAGACAGCATTGATAACAGTCAGGGAGATCTGTGCCAAGACACATGTCAAATTGTCAAAAGCTAAAGCCAGAGAGGATCTTGAAAGCAGCAAAGGAGGTGACTGGTCACATACATGGGCTCTTTGGCAAGATTCCCAGCAGATTTCTCCTTAGGCTCCTTGCAGACCGGAAGGCAGTGCGATGGATATTAAAAATCCTGAAAGAAAAAAAACCCTTTCAGCCAGGAATTCTATATCCAGTAAAACTATCTTTAGCCAGAAATTCTATATCTGGTAAAACTATCTTTCAAAAAAAAAAACTATCCCTACAAGAAATGCTATAGTGAGTCCTTCAGTCTGAAATGGAAGGACACCAGACAGTAATTCAAAGCCATATGAAGAAATACAGAACACTGGTAAAAACTACATAGGAAAATATAAAAGCTGATACTTTTGCAGTTTTGGTTGAAATTCCTCTTTTTATCCCTATATAATTTAAAAGGCAAATGCACAAAACAATAATATAAATCGATGTTAATGGGCACATAATATATGGAGAGGTCTGTGACAACAGTGGGGGAGGGGGATGTGTGGGAGCACAGTGTATGAACACTTGAAACCAAATTCACATCATTTAAATTAAGTTGTTATAAGATTAAGATTTTAATTGCAACAGAAGAAAAACAATCATACTGGAAAAACACACAGAAAGGGAAAGAAGGGAATAAAATGGTACAGTACAAAAAATCAAGTAAACACTAAAAAAGGCAGATCTGGAGGAGTTGAGATAGAAAGCCATAGAAGACACACAGAAAACAAACGAAATCTTTTTGTGAAATAATTGCTTTAAGTGTAAATGGATTACTGTCTAATTAAAAGGCAAACATTGGCAAAGTGCATAAAGAATCACGAGCATCCACAAGTTGTGTACAAGAGACTCACTTCAGATACACAGACACCACGAGGCCCGAAGTGAGGCTGGGCTGGGGCATCAGAGTGCAGAGGGACCGGGGAGGGCTGGGCAGGCTCTGTCTGGCTTTATGTCGGATCCTCTTGAGGACACGTCACTGTTTCTCTTGAGGTCACATATGGAAAGGGTTGTGCCTGCCTGGGTCACATGAGACGGTGAGATTTCTGTCTGCAATCTCCGAATGCTTATTCCATAATAAATGGTTTAATTCTTTTGTTCCTCTGGGAGAAGGGCTCACCAGGTTGGTGGGAGACTTTCTTTTCATCTGCTTGTCCCGACTACGTCCACAGGCGGCCTCATCGCCTTCACACTGTTGCAGGAGACCCGCTGGGCCACTCTGCCCCCGTGACTGTCTCCTCCCCTCCGTCCTGCTCTACTTTTTCTTTCTGAAGAGCCCTCTGTACGTCATCATCCTTGTAGCGTTCAGGACTCTCCCCTTTGCCTTGAGCTGCCCCTTGTACACTGGGAGGGAGCAAACAGCAGGCCACATCAGCAATGCCAAATGAGCGAACAAATGAATGTCTCGCAGGCGGCCTGAACTCACCGTGTCCACAGCCCGTGCCCGCTGCTGCATCCACATCTGCCCACGGAGCTCCGCCCTCCAGTCTCTGAGGCCAGAGCGTTGATCTGTTTGCTGTACCCACGGTGCACACGAGGACACCCCACGGCACCACCTGCCCACCGCACCCCGCCGTGCACCCGCCAGATCCTGCTAGAATCAGGCAGCTCTCAGCCTCTCCCCTCCGCACTGTCCACTCACCTGTCTTGGGACCACCCTGTTCTAGCTGGAACCCCTCCCACACTTCCCCTTTGTTTCCCCAGCGCCTTCTGCCTGGCCTCATGCTGGCACTGGGCAGCCCATATAATCCACACAGGTAGCGTCCTGTGGTCTGCCTGCCCCATGCAAAGGTCAGCTCCAGGTGCTGACCAGAGGTCAGCCCCTCAGTCCGTCTAGGCTGCTTGCTCCAGCACTGGGTCAGCGTGGCCCCGGGCTCAGCACTTGCTTGAGGAATGAACGGGGAGGGACGGCCGCAGGCTCACCCCAGCTTGTCCGTGAACCTGGCGTGGTTCCGCCCTTACTCACCCCCCATCCGGGGTGGCTGGTCAGCCCCTTCCTCCTGAGCAGGTGCGGCCTGGGGGAGGTGTTGCTGGCAAGGGAGTGGGCCTGCTGGGCCCTGGTGCGCTGGGTGTGGTCTCAAAACCTGGCCCAGCTCAGAACCCAGCACTGAGCTCCATGGACACTTGGCAGCAGCCCATGGGGACTGCTGGGCAGCTGGGACCTGCACATGCCCTCCCCACCCCATGCCCTGTAGCCTGAGCTTCCCTGGCCCTGGACAGGAGCTCAGTCATGGCCTCTGCCTGAGCCTCAGTTTCCCCTTCTGGGATGGCAGTTTGTGGCGAAGCCCTGAGGGAGCCCACACCTGGGCAGCTCCCGCAACCCCCTCATGCAGGTCCTGCCCCTTCTCCATCTCCAGGTGGGCAGGATTCCCGGGGGAGCCCTGCTCAGAGGGGGTGTCTCCGTGCACCTCCAGGGGCTCCTGTGTGGACCAGGACAGTGGAGCCAGAACTTGGGGCCAGGCCGCCCACCTAGAGCCAGAGCTCTGGTCTCCTCACCAGCCCTGTACCCCAACAGGGAGAGGCACCTGGGGGGCAGGGGTCTGCAGAGGAAAGCCTGCAATGAGGAAACATGCCGAGCGTGGAGCCCCAGCCTGCTGGCTGTGACCCTGACCTGGGGTAGAGGGGGCACCTGGAGCCTGAGGGCTTGGCCTCCGCTTCCGGGAGGTCCTCCCTCACTACTCCCCAACTCCTTTCTAGCCCCTGGCCTGACCAGGTCTCAGCACCCACAGGGTGCCCCTCAGCAGCCCCTTTGTGGGGACACTGGGAGGTCCCAGAGGAGGCAGACACCCATTTCCAATGGTATGGGTGGGTCTTTGGGCTGAACTTGGGGAGGCGGCCTGGACGCGGCTCTCCCACCCACACCCACACCCACACCGGGAGCCACTCTGTTGGGGTGTTGGTGTCTCCAGCCCAGAGGACGTCCTCAGGCGCAGCCCGGGAGCTCATGCGCGGTGGGGGCAGGCAGGCGCTGTCCACCGCCCACGGTCGGCCTCACCCCAGGCGGCAGTCACAGCCTCCGCCCACTTTAATAAGGGTCCCTCACTGTGACCCTCCCCCCGACTTGCCCCAAGGGGATACTTGCTCTGCGGACCCCACCCTTGCCCTCAAGGGAAGAGGCGAACCAGGCGGACGGGTGTTTACTGAGCAGACAAGGTCTCGCCCACCCCTAGTCTTCCTGGACGGCAGCCCCATTAGGGGAGGGAGAGAAGGCCCGGTGGCCGCGGCGGGCTGAGCGAGGGACAAAGGAGCCGGGGCAGCTCAGGGTGGGCAGCTGGTGGTCCGTGTAGGCTGGCACGAGAGCTCTGGGAAGGCAGACCTGGTGGGCCAGCTGTGACACCTGGTGTGGGGCAGGGGAGTCCAATAAAGGGCTAGGGGTCCCTCTGTGGTCCTTGGTCGTGGCTGCAAATTGGGGCCCCAAGGCCACTGGACACTGGGCTGGACAAGCTGGGCGGCTGGAGAGTGGGACATGGCCTGACCCTCTGGGAGGGCCGGTGCGGGGGTGGGGGGCTCTGGGTGGCATGCAGGACCCTGGGTTCTCAGCAGGGTCAGAGGGACAGCTGCGAGGCACTCTGGCACACACTGGACGTGGCCCTGGGTCACCAGGGGCTGGCCAGCCTCAGAAAGCCCAGGGCAGCTCTGGCAGCCACTGGGCAGAGGCTAGTACTTGTCCTCAGGGCAAGGATGGTGAGGTGATCACGGGCTGCCCAGAGGGAGATGGGACCAAGCCGAGGCAGGGCAGGGCAGGGGCTGGGCCACCTGGGGGAGGGGGCAGGCTGCCCAGCTATTTGGTTGGCCCCCACCCAGTGGGTTCAGGAAGGGGCTGAAGGTCCTTCATCTGACCTGAATCTGGCCCCCACCCCCAACGTCCGGCCCGAGGAATCCCACGGAGCTGCAGGCCTCTGGACAGCTGGGAGGAGCCTGAGCCCACAGCCTGGGGTCGGGTGAGACCACCCCCATGCTGAGACCTGGCCTTTGCTGTCAGAGCTTTGGGGTGCCTGGAGGTGAGCTGTCCCCCACGCCACACCCCAGCAGTCCATCTGGCATGTTTTCTTATTCTGCATGAGACACCTGGGTGGCAGCTGGGGAGAGAGGAGTGGGGGGTTGGCTCAGTGTGCCCAGTACCAAGCTGGTCTGGGGGCACACTCCAGCCTGGCCCCCACTGTGCGGCAGAAGCGGGGGAGGGAGCTGCAGGCCCCAAGTGCTCAGGGCTCAGGCCCCTTCTGGGCTGTCCAGTCCTCGGGCACCAGGGCCCATGGCTGTAGGCAGTGTCCCATCACAGAGGTGTCTACCTGGACCCCGAGAGCAGCAGGCACTCCCCAGACGCCACCCACTGAGCTGGCTCAGCCCTCCCACCGCTCACAGGCCTGTGCCCGGCACCCTGGGACTTTGCTGTGTGGCCCACGTGGACTCCAGTAGTGGTCAGTCGTGGGGGCAGCTAGCCCCCAGGTCACCTGGCTGAAAGGCAGTGGAGCCCCAGTGCAGACCCCAAGCCCCAGGGGGTGACCTGTCACCTGCTGAAGGTGACCTTGCCAGGGAAAGGGACCCAGACTTGGCTGAAAAGCTCTTCTAGGGGGTAGGAGGAGGTGGAGGACACAGGCTGAGAGACCCTCAGCAGGCCTGGGGACATTCCAGGGGGCAGGATGACTCAGCTGAGCTCAGACGTGGCTCTGAGACCCCCCCACAAGCCACCCATCAGTGGGAAAGGGTCAGTGGGGTCTCATGAGAGGCTCTGGGTGCCGGGGTGCTCTCTGCTCCCCTCTCTTGCTGGCCTCTCCTGCCCCCCACAGCTTCTGCTGTCCACTCTCACTCCAGCATCCCCCAGGCAGAGGCCACCCTCCTGGGCCCTACCTCAGGCCCACGTTGTTAGCTGTCTTCTGCCAAGTCAGAGGTTCCAGGGATCTGGGCCTCCGTGGCTGGTTGGGCAAAGGGGGGTGGGAGGCCATCGTGAGTTCCTAGGCAGTTGTAAGCAGAGCCCTGCTCAGGGGTGGTAGACACTCAGGGAGGAGGACACAGCGACACACAGTGGGCCACCCGGCCAGGGGTGGGGCCAGGCAACTTCCTTCTGTCTGGCCTGTCTCTACCTCGGCTCAGAGACCTGCCTGACCCAGGGGGCAGCCAGCCCCTCTGCCCCCAACCAACCCCAATCTCTTGTGCAGTGCCTGCCACATCCGCCGTGACAGTGGGAGACAGATGCCAGGGGCAGGCTCAGCGCAGAGGCGAGGCTCCAGCCCTTGTCCCCCTGAGGTGCCCAAGGGCCCGGCTGCCCTCTAGCCCACGGCCCGGCCCTGGTACTCACCGCAGCGGAGGTCACACAGCTGCTGGGGTGCAGAGAAGCGCACATCGGTCCTCCGACCCTGCCGACATGGGGCAGCTGGTTCAGCACAGTCCCTCTGGCACCCCACCCACATCGCCAGAGGGACGGCCTCCAGGGCAGGCCAGGGCCCCACAGCTTCCCGGGGCAGCACCACCCACCTGGATGCAGGTGTGGGGTACACAGGCCTCCTCCTCCAGGATGTCCACGAAGGCAACTGCAGGGTCAGCTGTGAGGTCACCCTGGGCCAGGGGAGGGGAGGGTCACAGGCGGTGGGGGCAGTCCAGGCTACCCCTGTCCTGCTGCACAGGCACACGTGTGTGTGTGGTGCCCATGCGTCCGCAAGCCGTACAGCTGGTCTGGCCCTTCGCCCTCTCCACCAGGCAGCAGTGGGGCTGGCTCAGGCCAGGTGAAGGGTCAGCCACCCTCCCAGCACGATGCCCGCAGACCTGGCTCACTGAGGCTGGAGGGAGGGAGGTGGCCTGGAGCTCTCGGTGGCAGACAGGGGGCCACGTCTTCCCTCCGTGGCACAGGTGCACCTGGAATCGGGCGGGACTGCGCGAGAAGAAGAAGACCCGGAGGCGGCCCCGAGAGGGTGCGGGCTGGACGGCCATCTGCCAGGCTGTGGGGGCGGGGAGGTGAGGCCCAGCACTGCGCCTGCTGCCCCTCCTCCCTCCCACGGGCCCAGCGACCTGTCCTGCCTCGCTGACCACGAGATGTTCTACACAAGCAAAGAAGAGGGTTTATTTGCCCCCCAAGGCCCCAGGCCAGCCTCCCCACCCGCCTGCCCAGGGAGAGCTCACCCGGAAAGTGCAGCTGTTCGAAAGGGCACCTCACCCAGAAGCCCAGGCTGGTGGAGAACTGCAGAGAGGGTATGTAGGTGGCCATGCGTGTCAGGGGTGGTCGGGGCTGGGACCCGCTGGCCTCCTTTACAGCGCTTCGGGACGCCCCACCCCCACCGCTACCAGCCCTTAGCTCTGCCTGTGGTCAGACTGGGAAGGGGTCAGAGGGGCTGCTGGACCCCAGGGCTAGGCTAGGCAAGGCATGATGGGTAGCTGCAGGCCCCCTGCCCTAATGCCCCAGGCACCCCCACCTGCCTCCTTGCCCCCTTCCCTGGGTGCTGGTACTGTGCCCGGCAGACCACAGCCCAGTCCCCTTACCTTCAGGCAGAGCTGGGGCTGCGTGTCCACCAGTGGGTACTGCACCTGGGGTGAGCTCAGGTCAGGCCCTGGCCATGCTGAGCCACACCCACCCTGCCTGGTGGGCGCTCACCCTGCCGTGGGCAGGCCCGCCCCTCCTGGTGGGTGCTCACCCTGCCGTGGGCAGGCTGGCCTGAGTGCTCTAGCTTGCGGCACTGGGCCCCTGGCCTCGGGCGCCAGCACAGGCTCACGTGGCCGCTCACGGGGCAGGCTGGCTCCCAGCTCAGCGCCTGGCTGCCAGGGTGGTAGCGGATGGCGTCCCACAGCGCCTCAGTGTCTGTGGCCCCAGGCCCGGGCTGAGTCAGCAGTGCACGTGGGCCACAGGGCCTGGCACCTGGTGAGGGACCACGGGGACAGGCCGGGGCCTCACGTGCCCTTTGCCCGCGGGTCCCAGGCTGGGTCCGGGTGTGTGCACCCGCCGGCGTGCAGTCACCGAGTGGAGCCAAGAGTAGGGAGCCCACTTGCACCCTCAGAGAGGCCCCCTCACAGGACTGGTTGCCCCCAGAGAGCCAGGGCACTGGACCCTAGCAGGGCTTCTGCTGGTGGGCTGCAGGATGGGGGTGTTGGAGGTGCTGGGACACACCTTTGCCCTCCCAGCTGGATCAGGCTGAGCCCACCTGCCTCCCACTCTTCTCGCCTCCCTCCAGGCCCCCAGGCACCACAGGGTACTTGCCGGCTTCAAAGGGGCAGATCTGGATCCGCACAGCATCGGGGGTGGCAGACCAGCCCTGCAGGAGGGACTGGGCTCAGTCAGGGCCTGACCATCCCCTTGTCCCCTCCCGGCAGGCAGCGGGCTGCGCCCTCACTGACCTCAAGGCACAGGCAGGGCAGCTCTTGGCTGTAGGGCAGAGAGACCGTCCTCGAGGCTCTGTTTGTTGTCACCTGCAGCAGAGGCGAGGGCTGGGGTCTGGGGTCTGGGCGCGGTGAGACTGGGGGAGGGAAGGGAGGAGGGGGCGGGACAGGGCTTGGGGCGGGTGGGCGTGGTCGGGGCTGGAGGTGGGGTGCCAGGCTGGGCCTGGGGCTCACCCGCACCAGGGCGCCCTCCTCTGTGCAGGTGAACCACTTGAGGCAGAGGCGCACGTAGTAGTCGCGGCCCCCAGGGGCCTCGGGCACCTGCACTAGAATGACCTTGCGGCTGCGGTCCACCCAGTAGGAGAGATTTCCAGCTGTAGGAGGGTGGCAAGGTGGGGGCCATGCTGGGGCCAGGGGTCACCAGACCCAGGGCTCCATCTGTCATGAGAGCCTTGAGGTGGTGACCCCTGCCAGACCCAGGCATTTGGGAGTTGCCCACCTGGGGATCCATGGCGGATCCCCAGGCGGGCCTGGCAGGAGACCTCAGGCACGTGGGGGTCCGCAGCAACCCTGGGGGTCCTCCCAGGGGCACCAGGGCTGGGACCCACCTGCAGAGGGGGCCTCACCAAAGCAGTCGGGCACGCTCCTTCCTACGTGCTCGTCCCCACAGCCTGCAGATGACAGGGGCGATGGCGGGCTCAGTCTGTCTGCCCCCAGGGTCTGTCCCGCTGGCTGGGCCTCCTCCGCAGGGAGGCCGCGAGCCCAGAGTAAGCCAATGCTCCTGCTGGGAGCTGCCCAGCATGGCCCTGCCCAGTCAGTCCCTCAAGGCCGAGGGCAGCTGTGCCCAGGCCAGCCCCACCTTCCACTTGGTACTGCTGCTCCAGCTGGACACCGCAGAAGTGCGGGACACTCCTCAGGGTGACGTAGAGGCTCTGGGCCACGCTCACTTCCAAGCAGTCCAAGTGCACCTGGAGCTGAGCAGGGACTGGTGTGAGCCAGGCACACCTGGGCCTCTGCCCACCCAGCCCGCCCGGGCCAGCTGCTCCTCACAGAGCTGGAGCCCAGGGCCTCGCACAGAGGAGGAGGGGTGCCCATTCCATAGGCCTGGGGTCCAGGACAAGCTGTGGGTCGGGAGGCCGGGAGCAGGCCGTGGGGCAGCTGCTGGTGCCCAGCAAAGACTCGGGGCTGGACCCGCAGGCCCAGGTCAGGCCCTGGCCTCACCTGCCGCCCCGCCTGCAGCCGTCGGGAGGCACGGGAGACCCGCACGCTCTGACACCGTGTCTCCTGGGTGTCCAGGCTCATGGAGCAGGCCTCTAGGCCCCGAAGGCTCTCTGGGCAAAGGCAGGGGTGCGTCAGACCATGGTGGTGGGGCTCCGTCCCCCCCACCTCTCTGTGAAGTGCGGTTAGGGGACTGCTGTGCCCTGTCCTGCCCCTGGAGGTCCGCGGCCCCTCTCACCATGCATCGTGAGGGAGGCGTGCATGAGCAGGAGCAGAGAGCAGCTGCCATGCGGGGTGCATCTCATGGCGGTTGACAGTGTCAGGGTCCCCAGGACCGACCTGGGCATGGACATGGGGGGTGGCCGGCAGAAGCTGTTGAAAATATCCCCTGGGGAGACAGCAGAGGGGTGAGGGCCATGGTAAGGCCACATGTGGTCCGGCAGGGCCTCGCAGCCTGGGAGGGCCCCTCACTGTCCTGCCCAGTGCCATCAGGGGATCCCCTGTGGGTGGCGGGCCCACCCCTGAACCACGTCTGTACTGCCTGCTGGGCATCAGGCAAAGGACCAGGGGGCGGCCTGAGCGTGGGAGCTGCGGTCCCACTGGGCCACTCTGCCCAGCCAGCACACTCCATCACTCCCTTCAAAGAGGAGCAGCAAAAAAGCCCTACTAGGGACAGCTGGTCATGGCCCTGGGCCCTGCAGCCTAAGGCTCTGTCCACAGGCAACCAGCTGTATCGGCCCAGGTGGGCCTGGCCCTAAGGGCCTGGGCAGGGCTTGGGCAACTGCAGCCAGGCCAAGGGTCATGCAGGGCAGCTGGCCTGACATCGGAGGGGCTGGGGCCTCACCTTCCGGGATGGGGGCTGCATGGCATTTGGGGCTGGGCCAGGTTTACAGGTGGCGGCTTCAAGAGTAGTGGTGTTAGTTCTATGCAAGACACCACAGGCAGGGTGGCCTGTGCCCCACAGACGTGGCTGCCCAAGTTCCTCCTGCACCCATGGCACGGCTCATCCACAGGCCTGCTGACATGATGGTGAAGGGCCCCAAGGTAGGACGGTGCGCCCAGGAGGGGAACGTGTGTGTGCTCGGTGGGTGCTTCCAGGGCCCCAGGACTCCCAGGGCCCTTCAAGACCTAGGGGGTCTGTGAGGAAGGCCCCCACTGGGGCTCGCCCCCGAGAGGGAGTAAAGGGAGAAGGGTCAGGCCCTGCAGCTCCTCCTGTTCTTGGGAAGGACCACCCTTAAGACGAGGTTGAACTGTTGAAATGAAGGTGAAGGGAGGGAAGCCCGGGGAAGATGAACAGCAAGACCCCTCTCTGCAGAGTAAGCAGAAATGAGTGCCTGCAGGGGTCAGAGCTCGGAGAACTGAGATGAGGCGCAGGCCCGGGGACACCAACCGGCCATCCCTCCCGTCCTCGGGTCACAGCGCTTCCACTCAGAGGCCTTCCTCCACCAAAACGGGCAGGTGGGTGATGGTGAAGGCCTGCTGTCCGCAGGAGGGGCAGGGGCACCACTGAGGCTCGGTCAGACTGCCGCACTCAGCCACCGTGGCGGCACCCGGAGCTCGGAGAGTCCCTGCTCAGCAGCTCCAGAAACAGATGGCAGGGACCGTGGGGGCCACGGGATCTGGATCTGTCCCCAGAGCAGAAGCCTGTGGATCCCCCATGGCTCAGACGGAGTGAGGGGGACCAGATCTACCCTCCTGCCTGAAACAGCCTGGAAAACTGGACAGAATATATGGAGCAAAGATCTTAAGGACACGAAGAAACAAGGACGGTGATGCCCGAGAGAAGGGAGACAGACAAGCAAACTCCAGGGGGGCCACTGCCATCGCAACAGGGTTCTGGGCACAGGCAGGGGCCAGGGAGACCTGGCCTCTTCCTGAGCGAAGGGGTGGGGACAGACCCAGCGAGATGGGAGGAGGGGATACGAGGGCTCTGGAGGGTGTCCAGCAGAGCAGCGTCAGCACGCAGGTGTGAGGAGGCCGGCAGAGGCAGGGCCGAACCAACCTCAAGGATTTGGGGAACAGTACCCTGCACCCACACAGGGCAGGTAGCCCCGTTCCCAGCCAGATTAGAAGCCTTGCAGTTCACCAGGCTCTGGGTGCAGCGTACACGAGAGACCTGCCTCTGTGAGGGGAATCACCAGCCTCAGACTGAGCCACACTCTGGTGTGGCCTAACAAGCCTGGAAAGCAGGACCCAAAAAGATGAAGCTGTTTCCAAGTAAGTGAACTATATTCCAGAAAGAGCTCAAGAATATTTGTAGGAATAAAAAAACAGTGTAAAATTCACAATGTCTGTCATCCAATACAAAATTAGAAGCCCTGCAAAGAGTCAGGAAAACACAGCCCATACCAGGGGGAGGAATCAGTTAATTAAAACTGATACAGATAATAGAATTAATAGACTAAAACATTAGAACAATTATTATAATTGTATTCCATATGTTCAAAACATTAATTATAAACATGGAAGATATTAAAGAACCCCAAACCCAGCTACACATGAAAACTACAATATCTGAGATGAAAAACACATCAGGTTGGTAAGATTAATAGCAGACTAGACATTGGTTGTAATACCTGACAACACAGATTTCAGGGCAAGGAGTGTTACCAGGGGAAGATGGTCATTTCATACAAATACAGGGAGCGATTCATAGGAGTACACAACAGTCCTAAACTGATATGTACTTAATATCACAGTTTCACAATACATGAAACAAAAGTGATAAAACTACAAGGAGAAATAGACACGTCCACAATTATAGTTGTAGATTTCAATGTTCTTTTATAATTGACAGAATGAGTAGGCAGAAAATTAGAAAGAACGTAAATAGTCTTGTACACCACAGCTGACCGACCTGATTGACGTTTATAGGTCACTCCACCCACACCCAGCAGAACCTGCTTGCTTTTCACGTGTTCATGGAACATTTATCAAGATAGACCATATTCTGGTCCACAAAACAGTCTAAATAAATGTAAAAGGATTTAGAGCATACAAACCATCTTCTCTGACCGAAATGCGATCAAACTAGACATTAATAAAATATTTCTGGAAAATCTTCAAATATTTGGAAACTAAACAGCAGAGTACTAAATAACCGATGGGCAAAAAATAAATGAAAAGGGAAGTTAGAAACCATTTTGAACTGAATACAAATGAAAAGACAACAAATAAAAAAAATTGGATGCCGCTAAGGCTGCGTTTAGGGGGATGTTTGTAACACTGAACTCCTATATTAGAAAAGAAAGATTTCAAATTAGTGACCTTGGCTTCCACCTTAAGGAATTAGAGATAGAGGAGTAAAGTATACCTTGAACAGAATACAGTGTTATATGTCAATTATATCTCAAACTGGGGAAGAAGAATAATGAAACCCAAAGTAATCAAAGGAAATAATAAAGATCAGAGTGGAGACCAATGAAATGGGAAACAGAAATGCAATAGAGGAAAATCAGTAAAAGCGTATGTTCTACTTTGTAGATTCTTCTAGAAAATTGAAAAAGAGGGAACAATTCAGAACTCTGATATCAAACCTGATAAAAACATTGCAAGCAGAGAAAACTACAGAACAATATACCTCATGGCTTTTGAGTAAAAACTCTAAGCAAAATTTTAGTGAATTGAATCCAAAGATATATAAAAGGATAACACATAATTACCAAGCATGGTTTGTCTCAGGAATGCAAGGTTTGATGTTTGAAAATCAATCACCATGATTAACTGTGTTAACAAATTAAAAAAAAAACATGACAATATCAATAGCCATGGTAACATTATTTGACCAAATCCAGCATCTTTTCCTAATAAAACCACTCTCAGCAAACTAGGGACTGAAGGGAACTTTCTCACACCGATAAAGGCCATCTGTGGGAAACCTATAGTTAGTATCATATTTAATAATTGAAAGAATCGATTCTTTTATCCTAAGATCAGGAGAAAGACCAGAATTGCTGCTCTGATCGCTTCTATTCAGCATGGTATTGGAGATCCTAGTCAATGCAATAAGGCAAGAAAATAAACTTCTTTTCCAATTTGGAAAGGAAGAAGTACATGTCTTCATTTGCAGATGACAGAGTTGTCTCTGCAGAAAATCTGAAGGAATCTACAAAAAAGATACAAGAACTAAGGAGTGAGTTTAGCAAATTGCAAGATACACAATCAATATACAAAAATCTACCATATTTCTTATATTAACAAAGAACAATTGCAAATTTAAAAAATTTAAGTGCCATTTATAATATCAATTTGAAGTACTTAAGGACAAGTCAGACAAAAGATGTATAAAATCTATGCCCTGAAAAGTACAAAATATTGCTGAGAGAAGTTAGAGAAAAACTAAATAAGTGGAGAGTTATACTGGGTTCATGGGTCAGAAGACTCAATATTGTTAAGATGTCAATTCTCCCCAAATTGATCTATAGATTTAAAGAAATATATAAATAAAAATCCTTTTGTAAAAGGCCTTTTATTTTTTTATTTATTTTTCAGAAACTGACAAGATGATTCCAAAATTCATATGGAAATGCAAAGGCTCTAGAACAGCCAGATAAGCTTTGATAAAGGACAAATCAGAAGCCTGACACGGACCACTTTCAGGACTTAATATAAAGTGATCGCGTACAGGGATCAGGACCGCGCTGTATTGGTGTCAAGACAGACAAATGGACGGGACAGAAGACAGCCCCAAAGTAGACGCGTCCACACAGGGACAACTGATTTTCAACAAACCTGCCAGGCGGCTCACTGAAGGAAGGACAGTCTTTTCAATAAATAGCGCTGGATCAACTGGATGTCCGAATGCAAAAAAAATGAGCTTTAATCCATTCGTTGCACTATACACAAAATTCACTCAAGATGGAATTTAGACTTAAACATAAAACTAAAAAACTTTAAAAAGAAAAACATAATAAAAACTTTGTGATCTTGTGAGCTACGAAAAGATTTCTTAGCTACAGCACTGAATCATGACCCTTTAAAAGAAAAAATTTGATAAACTAGACTTCATCAAAATTCATCTTTGAAAGACACTGTTAAGAGATTGAAAATACAAGTCACAAGCTGGGGGAAATACTTGCAAAGCATATATCTGATAAAAAAAACTTGTATTCAGAGTCTGTGAAGAACTTTCCAAATTCAGTAATAAGGAAACCAACAACCCAATAAAACCTGGACAAAAGCTTGGACAGAGACTTCACCTCTGAAGACACAAATGCAAGCAAGCATGTAAGAGACGCCCACCACCGTCAGGCATTAGGGAAACACAAACTGAAACCGCAACACACCTCTGTCACCTACGAAAAGGGTCGGATCCTAGGGGACTGACTGTACCAAGTGCTCAAAAGGGGTGGAGGGACTGAGTCCTCACCGGCTGCTGGGGGGAATGTAGAATGTAAAGTGCTTTATGATCTGGTGACTTCTTTAGTAGGTAGGCACCTGCTATGTGATACAGCCGTTCCATGTGTGATATTTACCTGCATAATGAGAAAGCCTTGCCCGTGAATGTTCTCTGTGGTTTTACATTTAGTGGCCCGAACCTGGGAGCAGCCTAAATGTCCATCAACAGGAGACTCAGCAAACAGACCGCGGGAGAGCGATGCAACGGCGTGGATTTTTGACCCGTGATGAATCTAAGAATAATTATACTGAGTGGGAGAAGTCAGACGTAAGAGTACACACAGTCTGATTTCACTTCTATAAAATTTTAGGAAGTGCAAACTATTGTCTATGGACAGAGAGATCTGTGGTTGTTGGGGGAGGAGGAGATGGGGAAGGGCTTCCAAGGGGACAAGGACACTTTGGGAGGGATGGAAATATGCATTATCCTGACTGTGGTAATAGTCTCACAGGTGTAAACATACGTAAGACCTTAGCAAATTGATTACTTAAAATATGTACAGTTTGCATTAATGTCAGTTATATGTCAATAATACTTAAAAGGTCATTTCCTCTCCCTGCCCATTTACAATGTGTGTTGGAGAACAGCAAGCTTCCGAATCCTCCCCCACACACAGTGGGACACGTACGGAGCTTGGCCCCCTGGCAGGGGTACTCCCCCAACTCAGTCCAAGTTTACACAGATCAGAAGTGGGAAAAAGAAACAATAATAATAAGGAAGGAGACTTAGACACCCAGGGCACAACTGTCTTCATGCCCTCCGGGACTCCTTCATCAGCACCCTCACACCCTCAGGGGCGAGGGGGCTACAGCAGGGGTGGGGCAAGGGGAACAGCAGGCTCAGCCCCCGCCCCCTCCCAAACCGATGGAGGTTTTTTTAAAAAGCTAGTGAACGGTTGTTTCGCCCTTTGCTCTCACTGTGTGCTCAGTGCTAAACAGCAGGAGTGACAAGACCCTCCTCCCAACTGGTCCAAGATTTAAGCAACTGCCGGCCCTGCTCGCCCGGGACCCACCGTCGTCTCGGGACTCATGTAGTGGAGACACTAGGAGCCTCCGGGGGGACCCCACTCAGGGCGCCGGCTGGGATTGAGGGAGAGGCCGCCTGAAGGGCACAGCCGGAGCCCTGGCTGGCCACAGGCCTCCTGGCCGAGCCTGGGTGGTTAGTCAGGTGAGTGACTGTGAGGAGAACCTTGTCCCCAGGTCTGATGCTCCCTCGCCATTGGGGGTCACCCACAGGGCTTGGCGGCTGCGGTCCTACGGAAAGTGACCGTGCTGTAGAATTCCCCATCCAAGTTATCCTTCACGTGTGTGAGAACTTCCTCCTCCACGCAAGAAGTGAGAAATATGCATCTTCTGACCTTTTCTAGAAGAAAACAAAGGCCTATTCCAGCCCCAACCAAGGAAAGGACCCAAACCAGAATATTAAAAAATGGCACAGATTGACAGAAGTGAAGGGCTCATGGTTATGCTGGGAAATGACGAAATATGTACTTAAGTATAAAGGTTGCAAAGGGTAAGGTGGCTACTAAAAAATAAGATGCATAACAATAGGGAGAAGCTTCGTCTCGGGTTCAGCTGACAGCAGGGGGAGAGGGGCAGGTGCCGGAGGAGGACACACCGAAGTGCTTGTGGCACACGGCCCCGGGGTCCCCCGCTGCCACCGCGAGGAGTGACCAGGAGCCCAGAACTCACCACCAAGACTCAGGGAGAAGTAAATATATTCAGTCATATTCAAAGATTTAAAGACTGCCACAGAGCCTTACTATAAGAATACCTAACAGATGTGTTTTAAAAGGAGAAATATGAACCCAAAAGGAAGAAGTGGGTTAGGAAAGGAAAGTGAGCCGGGGGGCCGGTGCAGCACGTTGGGGGCCTTAGGTCCATATCGATGGGGGCACTGCTGGGTGTCCAAAACTAGTTGGGAGTTTCATTTCTGATGTGATAGTCCAGGCTTTTCAGGCCAGTTCACTGTTGAAAACAGCAAGCCATGTGCAGTAAAAGGCTTACTTATGAAAAAATTCTTAAAAATGTGTGAGAGCTGAAAAAGGAACCTGGATCATCAGGCCCAAACTCAGAAAGGCCAGAGGGGCACAGAGCTCGGGAGGCATGAGCCCTAGGGCATGTCCCAGCCCAGGGGGCTGAGGGCTTTGGGGCAGGCACAGGCCAGGGGAATCCCTGAGCCCCCTGGAATCACGTGGGCCCTCGTCCTGGGTGTGGGCGAGAGTCAGGGGGAACCCACCCCTCCCCAGGCCCTGGGGCCCTGGACGAGGGCTTCTCCAAGCAAGCAGGGACAAGGGTGGGGCTCCCTGGAGATCCAGGAATCTCAGGAGGGTCTGGGTGTTGCGTCCAGCCCAGGTTCGCACCTCCAAGAAGACCCAGGAAACCTCAACCAGTGATTTAATTGGAAACAGCCCTGACGTCACACATTGCTCCTGGATACTCCTCAGAGACAGGTGAGTCTGGTCTGAGGGACGCCTCTTCTTCCTAGGCCTTGGGGGAGCACCAAGAGTCATTTCTCAAGGGCCTGGAGCAGATGTATTTAAAGATAAACATGTTGGGAAACCGAAAGCCAAGAGGGAGAAGCAGCAGACAGCCCCACGGCGCCTCCGCGAACAGAGGCAGACGCGCACTGCGGGCCAGCTGTGCCGGACACCTGCCTGCAAATGTGTGCGGTGGGAGAGACTATAAAGAGGAACCTAGCACGTCTGAGAGAAACGAATACAATTTTCAGAAACGAAACCCACGGAAACAGAAACATAGAATGCAATAAATGATTTTAAGAGCAGATTGGACATCACTGCAGAAAGAATTAGTGAAGGGAAGGATCACACTGAATGATCTGGAAAGGAGACAAAAAGATGGAAGACACAGAAGAGAGGTCAAGAAACGTGGGGAAAGAAGTAAAATGTGTAAGATGTTCCCTGATCGGGAGTTCAGGAGGAAAAGCCGAGAGAACAGAGGCAGAAGTGGAGATGACAGCCGACCTTCACAGGTTTACACGGGAAACCGAACGTGCGGGCCGGTCTCACTGTTACTGTTTAGAAGAGCTGCAAAATCCTAAATGAAATTTTAGCAAATGGGCTTGATAGTATGTTAAACATAACCAGATAGGACTTGTTTTAGAATTGCAAGTGTGGTCCACATTAGATAACCTACCGGTAAAATGCACCTCATTAAAAGATTAAAGGAGGAAAATTATATGATTACCTCCATAGATATGTAAAGTTTTCATAAAATTCAACACTTACTCATGATAAAAGAATGTTTAGCACACTAAGGAAAGAAAGGCACTTCTTGTCTAGATGTGGAAATCTCCAAACACCCAATAAACCCAATATTAATGATAAATCCTGGGGATCTTTGCCACTGATATGAGGACTGAGGCTAGGGTTCCCCATTCAACATTGTCCTGAAGATTCAAACCAATTCCATAACATCAAAAACAAACAAACATAAGCTTATAAACTATCATTATTTGCATAATATGTGATGATTATCTATATACAAAAACTTAAGAGAATCAGTGAGAAATCTATCAAAAATAACAGATTTTAATAAATATGTTGGATACAAGATCAATATACAAAAACAGCATTGCTTTACACCAGCAAAAACCAACTAGAATATGTAATAAAGTATGGAAATCATTCACAGTATCCTTCAACCTCTGAAGAAAGATTTGAGAAAGACCTAAATAGGTGGAAAGGCATACCATGTTCATGGTTGGAAGACTTAACTCAGGTCATTTCTGCTTGAAATTGATCAATAAATTCAATGTGGTTCTAATAAAAATGTGTGATATTGTGACTTATAATAAGAAACATAAAGGGGGCCTGCCTGCACTCTCAGGCATGTACTTTCTCTTTTCTTCAAGCTCTTATTTTCCAATAAACTCCTAAAACTCAAAAAAAAAAAAAAGAAACATATTTAATCTTTGTTCATTTCTGATACAGAGCTCCTAAAACCCTTGGAATTTCTGAAGTGGTAAGAACAATAAAGTTTCCTTTTGTTTCTTGACAAACCATGGCCAACCGCACCTGAGTCTGGGCTAATGAGGTGACCTTTGGAAAGCACTGAAGGGTGGCAGTCTGACTGCCAGAGGAGCCAGCCATGTTGGGGGACAGTTGGTTCAGCCCCACTCCCCCAACCTCTGGGGCTGGAGGTTGAGTGCAAGCACCAATGGCCAATGATTTATGAATAGTGCCTATGCAATGAAGCGTTCATAAAAACCAAAAAGGACAGTGTTCTGGGTGCTTTTGGGTTGGTGAACACGTGGAGGTGCTGGGAGGGTGACATGCCCAGAAGGCAAGGACTCTCCACAGCATATTCCATGTGCCTTGCACCATCTATGCATCTCAATCTGGCTGTTCCTGAGTTACATCTTTTTGTAATAAACTGGTGATCTAGTAAGTAAAATGATTCTCTGAGTTCTGTGAGCCACTCTAACAGATTAACTGAATCCAAGGAGTGGGATCTGGGAGCCTCTGATCAATACCAGTCAGAAGCACAGGAGATAAACTGGTGCCATTGGCCCTTGAAGTGGGGACGGCCGTGTGGGGGTGAGTCCTTAACCTGTGGGGTCTGAGGCTAACTCCAGGTAGATGGTGTCAGAGTTGAGCTAATTGCTTCAAGGTGTTAAAAAGCACACACCTCACCCTTCTCCCTGTGTGCAGGACACGCATCTCACCTCATTGCTTTCCCAGGGAGGATGCCTTGCTAATTAGTCAAAGCCGAGCACACTTTTTGAGCCAGTTTTAAAAGTGGACAATAACACTGTTCTTTAAAGAAAGGAAAAAACATGCCATCCTCTCTCTTGCATATGTTTTTGGCTTCTAAAAGCAGGTTTTTTTCCTCAGGACAGTTCATTCAGACATCCTTAGCCACAAAGCTGGTTAAAGAAACTAGGGGTCTGCTCTATAGACTCCGTCACCTCAAATTGAAAGAGAAGCACTTATGTCATGCGGCTGGCAGATTTATCAGAGAAGTCCTGTACTCAGACACAGTGGAGTGCTTGCACAGGTGTTAATAAAGAATATTGCATTACCTTTAAAAAAACAAACAAAAACAACCACATTATAAAATACCTACTGAAATATTCAGGAAAGTTGACAATCAAAAATTAATATTGAAGAGTTGAAGGTGTACAAAATGCTAAGACCCTTTTAAAGACCTTTTTCATATAAAAGTGGAATACAGTTGTACATAAAAAACCCTAAAGAATCCACTCCAAAACTACTAGATCTAATATCTGAATTCAGCAAAGTTGCAGGATACAAAATTACTACACAGAACTATGTTGCATTCCTATACATGAATGATGAACTAGCAGAAAGAGAAATCAGGAAAACAATTCCATTCACAATTGCATCAAAATGAATAAAATACCTAGGAATAAACCTAACCAAGGAAGTGAAAGACCTATACCCTGAAAACTACAAGATACTCTTAAAAGAAATTAAAGAGGACACTAAGAAATGGAAATTCATCCCATGCTCCTGGCTAGGAAGAATTTATATTGTCAAAATGGCCATCCTGTCTAAAGCAATCTACAGAGTCAATGCAATCCCCATCAAAATACCTACAGCATTCTTCATGAACTAGAGCAAATAGTTCTAAAATTCATATGGAATGACATAAGACCGAGAATAGCCAAAGCAACCCTGAGAAGGAAGAATAAAGCAGGGGGAATTATGCTCCCCAACTTCAAGCTCTACTACAAAGCCACAGTAATCAAGACAATTTGGTACTGGCACAAGAACAGACCCACAGACCAGTGGAACAGAATAGAGAGTCCAGATATCAACCCAAACATATATGGTCAATTAATATATGATAAAGGAGCCATGGACATACAATGGGGAAATGACAGTCTCTTCAACAGCTGGTGTTGGCAAAACTGGACAGCTACATGTAAGAGAATGAAACTGGATCATTGTCTAACCCCAAACATAAAAGTAAACTCAAAATGGACCAAAGACCTGAATATAAGTCATGAAACTATAAAAATCTTAGAAAAAAATATAGGCAAAAATCTCTTGGACATAAACATGAGCAACTTCTTCATGAACATATTTCCCTGGGCAAGGGAAACAAAAGCAAAAATGAACAAGTGGGACTGTATCAAACTGAAAAGTTTGTGTACAGCAAAGGACATCATCAACAGAACAAAAAGGCATCCTAGACTGTGAGAGAATATATTCATAAATGACATATACGATAAGGGGTTGACATCCAAATTATATAAAGAGC